ACGCCAAGAAATGCTATACACTAAGAGAAAAATCGACATAATATCACAAAAATCATTTCTTGAGCGAAAAACATCGCATACATACTCGATCAATTTATGGCAGGTTTCAGACAAGAAATCGGTGCTCTTCGGGTTAACGAGTAAGTTACTGAATGCAAAGATGATGTCTTTTTTCGAAATGAGATAATATTTCTTATAATACAAGAATAGTTTGACAGAAGGAAAAGAAGATATTGCTTCTCTTCGAACTCAATGCGATTGAGCGTAAGCGACGGTTATATTTTTTTAATATCTGGAGGTTTTCCTCTGCATAAACTCTCTATTCATTCAATATGAAAGTCTCTAATTCGTGATTCACTGAATCGAAGCTTTTAATATTTTTAGTCAATTGGTCATCTTCTGAGACGAAAAAACCGATTTCTTATTGTGGCAAGAACTTCTCACTTTATCATGCAATGTTCATGTTCAAGTCATTAACACTTCACTGAAATCTGATATTGTTTGACACATTATCTGGAATTCTTATCCCAAGAAATTTATCCTCAAGAGATGAGATATTTGGCGCAAGAAATTAGTTTGGTGATATTATAACGATATTTCTCTCAGTGTATCAAGAAATTCATGATTTGAAAATTACCAAGCGCATAATATCTCACACTGAGAAAACAAATTTACGCCAGGAAATTTTATACTTGTCCGAAAGATGAAGGCAATTGGTTCATATAAAGAAAACGAGTTCTCAAATCAATTCAAGTGGTTTTTGCATTAAAATATTTTACAATTGAGGTTAAAAAATTACTAAATGAACTACTTAAATTTGACTTGGTTCTCGAAATCGCTTTCTCGTCATCAGAAAGTTGTCCTCGTCTTGAGGACAAGTACAAAATTTCTTAACGAAAGTTTTTTTTTCTTAGAGCAAGATATTTTGCTCTTGAAAATTTTCGAGGCTCAAGTTGCTTGATATAAGTTAAGCCATACTTCTCGAAAAACCTTATTTTTCTCAGTGTACTTGGTCGATTTTAAAGGTAAAAATGACAAACGTCGGTGTTCGTTGGTGTATGGGGCAAAATCGATTGTAATGATTATTTATCCCACTTTTTAACATTTCCCATTACATATCAAAAGTCACTTAATACGTTCTCTACTGCAACACACCGGAAAAACAATTTTCATTTTCAGGGACATGTCCCTGATTTTGAGGAATTTATCCTAAATTATTAGAGATTAGTGATTATGACATTCAAGGAGTGCCAAATTCGGAAATTCAGTGATTTTGTTCATTTTCCGTAACATTATTAGTAATTTTCAGTGAAATCGTCATTAATTTAATCATCTTCCAATTTGGAATGGGAATTCGAAATACCCATCGCCCAATTGAGTATAAAATATACTTGAATGCTCCAACCAATCACCAATTTAACCATCTTTGAATTGAAATACCCATCGTCGTTGATTCAAGTATATTTTATACTCAATTCAGGTAAATGTTTTTTCCGCGCGATATCGATTCAATATTTGCGTAACACTGAAGTTACTTCAAGTCAAGGTCATTCTAGTCAGTGCAGTATCACCAATAATTGGTAACTGATTCCTCATCACCAAAGATTTGTCCCAAAAAATCAAAATTTTCTCTTCTCTCTGAAAGAAAACAGAAATTTCCCCGCAATCTCCTTTTAAAAAATCGTCTCTGGTGACGAAAAAAAATGACTAAAGGTCATGAACCTTGAACTCTCCAATCATCTAAAACCAAAAATCACCAAATTATCCTCTGGATTAAGAACGAGCCTGTCGTCCTCGACTCCGCTCAACACTTATTACAACGCATTCTCGTCGGCAACGGGTGTGCGAGGGGGCGGAATGAGCCCTAAAAAACCATAAAGAACAACACAGAAAGATCTCAGAATCTGTCGCGAGGCATGCCCGCTGTCGTACCGCAGTTCTCGGGCATTCGCTCATAGCCGACGCTCCCATTAATAATCACTTTGATGCATAACACGACCTCGCTATTATTTACCATCTCTCCTAACCATTGGGATTTGTGAAAGGGCCCGTTGATTTACGATGCATTGTACCCGTGACTCGGCTTCGCCGATTGTCACGATTCAAATCGATCTATCGATTGTGAGTCAAGATCGCCGTCTACTCGGGAAGTTGAAAAGAATTGAATAACATTTTTTACATTTTTCTCATCAAAATCCCAGACGTATTTGATTTGAGGATATTCAACCAGGGTAACCAGACCAATAGGTAGACACCGACTAAAATATAGACCATTTCAACTTTTTTTTAGTATTCTACACACAGAAAAACCTAAACGTAAATTACGTCTTGATAAACGTTATTTACGCTTAACGTCAATACCATATCTGGTGGTTTTTTCCGTCATGAAAATCGCAATTTAGGCTTTAAAAAAGCGCATTTTACGGTCAAAATAGAAACCTAAATTATGTCGAAACAAAGCGTATTTTACGTTTATCAAACGTAAATTATGCCCAAACAAAGCGTCTTTTACGTTTATCAAAAATACGAAAAAAATAATCGTAATTCACGGTACCTTTGAGCGTAATTTACGAATACGAGATCGTAAATTACGTCTATGCAATCGTCCTTTATATGATTTATGATTTAGGTGACTCTGGGCAAGAAATTTAACCGGCCGCATTACTCTAAATTCTAAATTCTAATCATCCTTTACGACGATTTTGAGCATAATTTACACCTATGAAAACGTAATTTATGTTTATAATCGTCGCAAAATACATTTATGTAATTGTAATTTACGGCGATTTTGAGCGTAATTTATGCTGCAACTTCAAGCGTAAAATACGCTTCAGAACGCGTAAAAGACGACTTCTTAAACGTAATTTACGTTTAAGTTTTTCTGTCTGCATAAAAAATATAGTAGAAATTGTATTACAAATTTCCATTTTTGATAATAAAACTAATGTATAATAATACGATGATTTTCTTATTTTTTATTGATGAACATTTTGAACGTGAAAGAAACAAATTCTCGTGGGGTGCAGTATCGGTCCTGAGGGACGGTATGAGTAGTTAGACAAGTCACGCAGTGTTAACGGAACAATGTGAAAAAGCAGTCATCATTATTATCGAAAAGGATCATTCTTCATTTTTAAACATGCAGAAGGATGAATTTCGTTGAATAATGATTCAATATGAGCGTCTATCTATTGGGTGTTTGGGCTGTATCACATTTTTTCATCATTTTATTATTTATTTCTTGATTGTATCCACTTCAAATCATTATTTTCCCATAATTCATATATTTTTTTAGGTTTAGAACCCATCGCTGACGTATTTACGTGATTTATCAATTTTTGATCTTTTGACGGACCGAAAACTACTAGTCAATATAGTGATTTCTGAGATTTCCCCGGGTACAATGTACGGGCCGCGAGAGTATAAACTGAAGTTTTAAATCGTTAGAAAACATTACAATTTAACATTGTAAAAATTCATACGATTTCAGTAATTTCTCATCGTTCAATAGTAAAAATTGAAAAAAAATGAAGCGGTTTTAACACTTCAGAAAATGATTTTTCGGTCCGTGGATTTTATACTGTTTTGTCCGTTAAAAATTACTATGTTAAATCGTAAAAAATGAATTTCCCATCGCAAACGGTCGGTTAAAATAAATCAAATTTCAAAATTTTTCCGATATGGTTCTCGATTATTATGTTCACATAGCAATTTTTAATTTTATATTCTCTCGTTGCTCCCACATCTACCAGAATGTTTAGGTTACCATTCTCAAAAGACAATACTTAACTATCAAGTGCACTGAGAAAAAAAATTATTTTTGCCAAATATCCATTTACTTGAGAAAAGCTTTTAGTTTTTCAATACCGTATTTCTCCAGCCGAGTTATTTCTAGGTTTCAATTATGACAATTATATTGCTCTAGAAGATAATCATGTTAGTTATGACTTTGAGTGAACTCCCTCAATGATCATTAACATTAAAAAATTAATCGAAATTCTTCCCTATAGAAAATAAGAAATTTAGGGAAAATTAATAACCACTGGAGGAGTTTATCCAAGGTCATGTGCAGCATAGTCATCCTCTAGAGCAACATGATTGTCATAGCCTGGGAGTATTTCGATTGGAGAAATTCGATTTTGAAAAAATAAATTTTCCCCTCAAATAAATAAATTTTTGGCAGAAATAATTTTTTTTCTCAGTGTGAAATCGTCAGTTGACCACTCAAGGGTTCAGCTACTCGGCCGAAGTCATACCAGGACTTACTTAACACGGCTGACTGTCGCCTGACTCAAATAGTTTCAATTAAATCTCAACGACAACATAAAAGATCCCGAATGAGGCATCACTAATGTATTTACGTTTTGCTTGGTTTTTTATAATTTTTTCGTTTCTCTTCTCGAAAATATGGGTGGATTGCTGAGGGAAAGTGAGACCTCGGAGTGACAATTTCAGGAGCGATTAGCCGTCATGCTTTGAGTTATGTTACTACTAAACGGAGCACACCGCGCCCCATTGAGACTCTACCGAGTTTTTCGTAAAAATAGAACTCCACTCGACGACACATTCGGCTTTCCTTGTTCCATTCCCAACATTTTTTCAGATCATTTCTGGGGTTTTTTTTCGTCGGTGACACTGGCTCGTAAATTTGAATTAATTTCATTATGAAAATTGAGAGGACATTTTTCATGGGTTAAATGCGTTCCGAGGGTAGCTGAGAATAATATTCTTGATGAAGTTGTTGGAGAGAATGCGCTGGTCTTGCAATCGTCGATTACCACCTTGTTTCATTTAGAAGTGAGGTAGTCAATTACCTGGGGACAATGAAGAATGGTTATAAATTAGACATTTCAGAAAATGTAGGTTTTTGCTATCTACATGCGGGCAACGTCTCTCCCCTCGCTTGTCGCAATTTTTCCTCCTTTCTAGACTGATAATATACCTGACTGATTAGTATAATTGACGACGAGTCTTGAGTACTTAAATTTTTTTTTTTTTAGGACGAACCTACAACGACTTGAATCAGTATCCAGTCTTTCCGTGGGTACTCACTAATTATGAGACTAAGGAGCTGGATCTCAGCTTACCGAGCAATTACCGGGATTTGTCGAAGGTGAGAAGAAAATAGATAAGATAATTTTTGCTTCCAAATGGAAGAATTGTATCTGTGAAATCCGAAAGTTCCAATTTTTTGTGTCAGGGTAGCTAATTCAGTAGTAAAGTAGTCAAACTGTTTAAGTCGATTTAGTTGAATTTTCCAGAAATATTGCCGAATTTAAGGGATATAGCGAAATTTTCACAATAACCTTTTTTGGAGAGTGAATTGAGTGCTAATAAAAAGGTATTTAGAACAGTTTTGCTATCTCTCTTAGATTTCGAGATATTCATTGAAAACTGGCCAATATCCAAAATCGTCTTAAACCGTTTGACCACTTCGCTACTTTGGCCTTCACATGCAAATTTTGCTAAAAATTCAGTGAAATTGAACATTTTCGAGCAACAGAAAAAAAAATATAATGGGAAAATTTTCATTGAAAATTGCATGCAATGATTCATTAAATTTAACAATCCCCCAACAGTTATATTTTTTACCTTTTTCTGAATATTAGTTTCAAAATAATTTTTGTCAACATCAGCTGATGCAATTAATCATCGAACTCGAACAAGATGGCATTTTGAGGCATATTTTAAATCACAATTTGATTCATTTAAATAATTATTTTTTCAGTCATCATCGAAAAACGATCGATCACATGCACATATACATCCAGAAATGGTCTAAAAATAGCATATCCGAACTGCCGGGGCCCAATTAGTTATTTTGACCCACAAAATTCGGAATTTGACGAATCCAATTCTTCCATTCGGAAACAATAACAAGTCATTTAATTCGAATGCCTCATTCTTCGGGTACACCGATAGAAAAAATTATTTTTATTGCGATGCTCCTTTCTTGGAACAAGTATTATATACCAATTTTAAATGAATACGATTTTGCGGTGAATATCAATTATTTCTTCTTGAGATATATTTACTTGCATGAAATATAACACTCCTTGACATCAATTGTATTTACCATAAAAATGGAAAAGTTCTATGTTTTTTAACCTAATATAATCTCCAGTCCAAACATTTTTACTTTCATGAATTGATAAAAATTCGTACCTAGGAGATGATTACATTGAGGAATTAATTGAATGTTGTTTTCTCGAATGAAGCCGATGTTTAAATTGAGCTTTCCGTACGTCACATTGAACAAAATTTGTGATATTCAATTTTGGGTAAAATTGCCGTAATCTGTGATTCTGTTATTGTAAACTAATGCGATTTTTTTTAGTCAAGAAATATAAACTTCTTTCACCTCAACGACATTTTACTACAATCTCAAAGCTCTTTCCGCATAACAATATTCATCCTGATTCGACATACGAAATGCTCACTTCAATTATAATTTACTTGGAACAACGTAAGATCGTGTTGATTGACATAACGACGTATTTAGTCATGAGAATAATTTTAATTTTTGAGTAAACCAGCGAATTTCTAGAGTTAGCAAACTTTTGGCTAGAAAGAAATGAAATACTCTCATTATTGCGATAAACAAAAGGAACTTCAATTCTAGAGAAGTTCAATTTCTCCCAATCAAATGTATCTCAAGAAGAGATAAATGGTATTCACTATAACATCATCTTTATTTGAAAATTAATAACCAAATGATAGTTGTTGAAATAAAATTCTCTTGATAAAATTAATTTTTTTGTCAGTGTATATTCTCCCATTTATCTAATAAAAATTTCGTATTCATTTCAATAGCCAATTGGAGCACTCAATCCAAGCAGAAGAGCATATTTCGAGGAACGTTTCCAGAGTTGGGAACACGACAGCATTCCACCTTTTCACTATGGCACTCATTATTCAACAGCAGCTTTCGTCCTTAATTGGCTGATACGAGTGGTACGTATCTCAATTAATTCTCCAGTCTCAACGAAATATCAGATCCCGCATGATAAAAATTCCACCGACAAATCTCCCATTTTATAATTTCAACTCGCCACTCGTTTCCTCGTTACAACATTTCAACGATGACTACCGCGCAGCGCGGTGATAAGAGAGATGTTGCGGGAATCCTCAGGGCTCGTGGGCTTAGAAAAACTAATCCCTTTGTTAAAAAAGCAAACCGGTGCCAGTAACAGATCATAAATTCTCCAAGACACATTTAGTAGTGAGTTAAACACTAATTCGGGGGCGTTGAAACGCCCCGACGAGTCGTCGAGTCTACCAGTCCGTTAAATATACATCTGTTTTGTACTACACCATTTTCACGGGAGATACACTCGTCCCATTCTCCTCATCCGGTGTTCCTATATTGCTGTCTATGATTTAGATTATTCGTATTTAACTTCATGAAGTTGAAATTTTTTCTCTCAAGAATTATTATGGTTCTTTGATCAGAAAACTTCTCCATGAAAAAATATTCATTATTTAGCCTTGAGAAGATCTTCACCCCATAAATTTTTCTGTAATTAATTTCCTCTATCGAACATAAAGTTCACCTTCTTTTCTCCACTGCTACAATCTTTCACGAATTTCAGGAAATGTTCATCACAAAAATTTCACACTTTCTGCTGTTTATAATCAAGTACTATATAAATTAAGTATTTCTGTGAATTTTTATCGTCTTGGCATTACTGGTTCATCTAACACTCATGATAATAGCCCAGATTTTTAGAAATCTATCTTGCGAACAAATAAGCGGATATGAATATAGTATATTTCGATATGAGTAAAAGTGTTTTTTGACCTGTGGGAAGTGTTTGGGGTTCGCTGAAGACGAGAGCTACTCTCCCAAGGATCAAAGAACACTTTTTCATAAGTGTTGAATCTTATTTTTCATCACAATGTGTGGAAAGCAAGATTTTGCTCGCGGAGCGAGCGTAAAATGTCACTTTACGCAAGAGTGATGAAGAATAAAAACGATTCTTTTCGTTTCTTCGAATGCTTTCCGAATAAAAATACTTTGGTATTGCATAGGCATTTTTCGGTTTCTTTCTCTTTTAACTTCAATTGAGTACTTAAGGACTCATTAAAAATAGATGGATTTTTGCTTCCGTATGGAAGCATTCCAATCCTTCAATTTTCACATTCTCTAATTTTGATTGGAAATGATGTAGAATGGTCTGAAACGTAAAAATACGAAATTTGGCGACCATATCTGTATGTGAATACGTCCACCGCCCCCTTTCCGATGGTGAATTTTTAGAAAATTGAGTAATTAAGTGGCTAAAGTAATTCCAAAAAATCTGAAATTTTGTCAGATTATAGATCCTAATAAGGACTCACTCTGTGCAAAATTTCAGCCCAAACGATCTAATAGTTTTTGAGAAAAACCGATTCGTTTTTACATGGTTTTTCGAAAATATCTTCAAAAACCAGTGGACCGATTCCGAGTTTTTTTTTCAAAATATTCGTTTCGACTCCTTGTATTTAAATCAATCAAAAAAAAATATACCCGTTCGTACAAAGTTTTCAAGATATTCCCGTTTTTCCGTTTTATCATAAAAGACTTGTGAACAAATGGAGATATCAACTTGAAATTTGGACAGAATCTTCCTCTCATGATAACAATTTTTCGTATTGAAGTTGGCTTCAATCGCATCAGGAGTTTCGGAGATATTCGACTTTTTCTGAAAATCTTTTACATGGAATATCTTCTAAATTACTCAACCGATTTCACTTTTTTTTCAAAACATTCGTTTCAATGCCTTCTATCTAAATAAATCAAAACATACGCACCCCTTCAGTTTCTGTTTCTGAAGGATGATCAAAATACACTATTTTTTCACACAATCCCAAAATAATGAGTTTTCATCATTAGCCATGATGGCTGATTTCAAGTCAAAAGAGAATTCTTCCGTGATGGAAAACGGATTTCCTATTTTTACAATTCTCCAAACGTCAACGGCTCTCGAAAATTAAATGCCTGCAGGTTTTTTTATTTCAAAATACGAGGGCATTTTGGGGTCGTGTAGGTATCCTCAAAGTAGCTCTTATAGAGAGAGTTTCTAAGTGGCCTCTTAAAGAGTGCCCCCGCCTTTTCTGCGCCTTAAAATGCACTCCCTTAGAAGTTCTGCCGCTGTAAAGACCCAGCCACTTTTGATTTCACGCGGTTGCACACATGCCATTCCTCCTCTCTTTACCTCTGGAGTAAAAGGAAAAACCCAATTCCACATTGTTGAATCTTTTTTTCGTTGCTTTCAGGAGCCCATGACCACGATGTTTTTGGCGCTTCAGGGTGGCAAGTTTGATTATCCCAACAGGCTATTCTCGTCAATCGCACTCTCCTGGAAGAATTGTCAGAGGGACACGTCTGACGTCAAGGTTTGTACATGATCAACGTTGAGAAAAGTAGCTGGGGTTAATTACATTTCTATTCTTATTTGTCTTTATTTCAGGAACTCATACCCGAATTCTTCTTCCTTCCTGAGATGCTGGTGAACACGAATAACTATCGTCTAGGGCGGAACGAGGATGGCAGTTCCGTGGGTGATGTAGATCTGCCGCCATGGGCTAACTCTCCAGAAGAATTCATCAGAATAAACAGAATGGTGAGAACAAGAACCTTTACAATAACTCCAATGAAGACAATAAATGAATGCAGAAAAATTGCTCTCAAATGGGAATCGAATTTTATTGAGATAATTTGTTGTGCAATAGTTGCTCATGGAATGGTTAATTCGAAATAATTTTCCCTTCTATTAATAATGAAGCTTGTGGTGATTCTTCAGACTCAACGAAAAGTTGAGGAGAAAAATTATTCTTCAAACTTTGAATCCTTTCTTCAATATTGCATCCGTTGTTGATGCGATCACAATAAATTAGAGTGAAATCTTGTATTTGAATACTTGGTAATACTTTGGTAATTACCTATTAAAGAGCAATCGATATCGTCTTCTTGACAACCCGAGAATTGCGAAAGGAGTCATAATATGTCACACATCCCGTATGTGATCAATATGGAATTTGGTGACTGGATAGCTCGATTGGCTACTGCAACGGACAGTGCGGATTCGATTGGCATGGTCACATCACATTGCGTTTTACGATGCCTTTACCCTCTGAATTGAAAGACCATACTCTGAATATTATGCGATAGCTTGATTGATCGTTAATTTTATTTTCCATCGTAGGCGTTGGAGTCTGAATTTGTGTCCTGTCAGCTCCATCAGTGGATCGACCTCATCTTCGGCTACAAACAAAGAGGTAAGAGGCTGTACATAATCACTGTTGAAATGAGAAAGTCGATATCAATATTATGCTATTTTATTATTTTGTGTCTCGGGCGTGAAGTGTTTATTTTTTGCACGAACTTGCAAGTTTCAAAATTTGGCAGGTCTTTATTTAAAAGACACACACACACACACTCGTCATGATGTAATTTCTTGAACGTTGTGTCCCACAAATATCGAATCAATATCGCAAATATCTCGAAAGCCTGTCACCTCCTTTATCTATTCCCACGTCATAGAGGCGCGCAAATGCGCGCCGTCAGACTAGTGTTATCATAAGTCGGATGTGTTTAGCGTGCATAAAAAAAAACTTTACGCGGTTATAACACAATAGGTATACTATTTCCTGTCGCTGAATTCACCTCGATACTTCGGCACTTGGAATTTCACGGAATTTCAGTAGTCACAGTTAATAGCAGCCAAGTTTGCTATTTCCAGTAGAAATATCTATTGGAAAAATGAATAAATATTAAGCACGAATAATCATATTCAGAGTGTAATTTATCTGAATATCTGCTAATTATGACTACTTATACAATCATCTTTATCGCAACAATCCAGGTTTTTCCTCTCATTGAACTAGCACCGTATTAAGTCTCCGAAAAACTATCACAGCAACTGTTTTCTCAAATAATTCATCTGAAATTAGTTGAAAACCTTGAAAAAGTGTTACACCCAAAGTCGCGTCAAATTAAATTTCCTCCAATGTTAATTACGAGTGGCGCCTCTATATCCGGCGCTTCCTCGAACACAAGTCCAACCACGGGGGAATAGAAAATTCAATGGATGTACGAAGACTCGTGCGCGTATGGAAGGAATTAGTTTTTTAGTTGGCTTCCTCCGTGTCGCCCGTAGTCCCCGGCAATTAGGCGCGCGCGGAAGACGCGACAATGCGTCCCCAGCATCACACATTGTCGTTAATACGCAACACATTTAACCAAAGACTGTATCAGGGTAATAAAGAATAATTTTTTTAACCGGAAGTTCACGAGCGGAACTATTTCCCAGCCGTTTATCGTGATATTTCAACGCTCAAATGTCTCGGGTGTCATCGGGGGAGTAGGAGAAACAAATTTACTTTCAGATATGAATTGTCGATTTTTCTTTTTAATTTTTTTTCGATGAATGGAAATTCGAAACATTAGACTTTAATATTGATACTGCATTTTCTTGGTGAAATGGCCCATTACACTCGCGTTTTTTTGGCATATGTGATGTTTTGCAGTGAGATTTTGTCCACAGAAATTGTAATGCTCATCCTACACGGAAAAATTTATATTTTGAAAAATATATTTAAAAAATCTTAAATTGACCCAATTTATATAAAAAATATATAAAACATATATTTTATATATTTTTTCTATATCCTTCATAAATTTTTCATTTTTCATTTTTTTTTTCATTTTTTTTAAATTCCTTATAAATTTGGAAAAGTCACGGAATTGGCCCATATTATATATTTTTTATATATTTTTTGATGGGGGACGTCATAATTACACAATATATATATTTAACTGAATTCTATTAAATTGAAATCTTTAACAACGGCTAAATTACATGAAGGTGACTGAAAATCGGGAAAATTTAATTGAAAGTAATGCTTGATTTTAACAATGAATTTGAAAATCTAAGTCGTCATTGAAATTTCAAAGATCACTCATCATAAAAACACTCCATTTTAATGAATTTTTAAAATAAATTAGAGATGTTTTTGAGTTATTTATTATTTATTGAAAAATTCAATGTACTTCAATCCTGAAATTAAGATCAAGTTTAGAATATTGAAAATTCAAATTTATCTCTTACTTAAATTGAAAGAAATTTCTAACATTACACGGAGTAATTGTTGAATGTTCAGGCCCAGAGGCAGTTCGTGCGACAAATGTATTTTATTACCTGACATACGAGGGAAGCGTAGAATTGGATTCTATAACTGATCCAGTTATGAAAGAAGCAATCGAGAATCAGATCAGGAATTTTGGTCAAACTCCATCACAACTATTGATGGAGCCTCACCCTCCAAGAAGTTCAGCAATGCATTTGGTAAGTTGAATATCTCTAGTAGAACCCCTACTAAATGAAAAACTAGTAAAAAACATCAAGCGCAGATTCTGAGAGTATCTCTATATAAATGAGGCGATAGATCAGCGCGCGCGTTCTAGTAGGAGATAATAATCAAGGAGGCAGTCATCTCATGAGACGAGTTTATAACTAAAATCCGTTGCCAAAGGCTAGTTTTCTGAAGAATTCCCTTCTAAACTCTGATTTATCGTAATTTCAGTCACCAATGATGTTCTCAAGTATTCCTGATGACGTCTGTATGACCATTAAATTCCCATCAAATTCACCAATATGCCATATCTCAGCAAATACCTACCCACAATTACCACTACCATCGGTGGTGACAGTTACCACTGGTCAGCAGTTTGCTGTTAATCGATGGAACACCAATTACGCTGGTAAGTCATAACCCTCCCATAAATGATTAAATATTCATGTTAACCAGGAACGATTGAATTCAATAAACCGTTGACTCTTTTTAGCCTCAGTGCAGTCGCCGAGTTATGCCGATACGCCTCAAGCACAGGCTGTTAATCAACCCCTGTCAATGGATCCTGTCTTGTGTAACTAGAAACTTTATTTGATCGTAAAAATTGTCATTCGGAGTGATGTTTCGTCAAGTTTACTCATCCATAAATTGTTTTCATTCGCAGCCCAAACCGCCAATCACTCGAATCAAGCGTTGAAGAGACACTTGGGTGATAATTTCAGTCAGAAACTCAAGATACGAAGCAACTGCTTTGTTACAACCGTCGACAGCAGGTTCCTGGTGGCCTGCGGCTTCTGGGACAACAGTTTTCGAGTATTCTCCACGGAAACAGGTACATTAAGATGATTATCTCTTCTTTTATTTATTTAACGTGTCAAATTTATCGGGAGTAATTCGAGAAATTGTTAACTGACACGCGAGAATGAAATTGTACACTGATAGACAATTTCTGTTTCATTCAGATATTTTTTTGGTGCAAAGTGTTATTAGGGGATATTCGAAGATAATACTACCCACAAGTTTGGGCCTATGAATTTACGGAAAAAATTCTAAATGATTTAGTTTATTGCATTCTCATAAGTTATTGAGGTTTTCTATCTTGGTATGTTGTTGAGGAAGGCAACGATACCTGTTTGAATCAAATAAGGAATTATTTGTTAATTAATTGTTGGAATCAAATACGAAATGATTTCACAAAATTTCCATTTTTTTAGAATTGAATATCGCAGAAACTATGTAGTACAAAATTTTACAAAAAATTCACCTTATTCGGAATTTATCAATCTACCATGGGTTCGTTTTTTAAGCACATTGTAAGAACCGTTTTCTCATAAGATGGAAAATTTAAAAATGGGTTACTGAAAATCAGCGACATTACTCTGAAAATTAATAACGGTGAACAGAGTGGGCGACAACATCACTGGATTTCAGAATTTCGCATTCACTGAATTTCACAATCGCGAATCTCTAATAATTGGGAATAAATTCGTGAAATTTAATGACATGTTCCTGGAAATCAGTGACATTACTCTGAAAGTTAATAACGGTGAACAGAGTGGGCCACGAAATCACTGGATTTCAAAATTTCACCTTCACTGAATTTCACAATCGCGAATGTCAAATAATTGGGGACAAATATCGGAAAATCAGTGACATTACTCTGAAAATTAATAACGGTGAACAGAGTGGGCGACAAAATCACGGGATTTCAGAATTTCGCATTCACTTAATTTGCCAATCGCGAATCTCTAATAATTGGGAATAAATTCGTGAAATTTAATGACATGTTCCTGGAAATCAATGACATGTTTCTGAAAATCAGTGACATTACTCTAAAAATTAATAACGGTGAACAGAGTGGGCCACGAAATCACTGGATTTCATAATTTCGTATTCACTGAATTGCACAATCGCGAATCCCTAATAATTGGGGATAAATTCCTGAAAATTCGTGACCTGTGCCTGAAAATCAACTACATGCTTCTGAAAATTAATGATAGTGACAAACTTGGCGACAAAATCATTGGATTTCTGAATTTCGCGTTCACTAAATTTCACAATCGCGAATCTCTAATAATTGCGGATAAATTCCTGAAAATTCGTGACCTGTGCCTGAAAATCAATCACATGTTCCTCAAAATCAGTGATATTACTCTGATAATTAATGATGGTGACAAAATTGGCGACAAAATCACTAGATTTGAGAATTTCGCAATCACTGAATTTCAAAATCGCAAATTTCTAGTAACTAAGAATGAGTTTCTGAATATCATTGACATGTTCCTGAAAATCAGTGACATAGTTCTAAAAATCATAATCTTTCTTCCGCTGCGCCAATAATTATGTCAAACAAAATTATCTCGACAAAATTATTCTTTCTCCTCAATGTCGACACGCGTCTATATCGATAACCATTTGTCCCCCATTTATTTACAGCTAAAATCGTTCAGATTGTCTTCGGACATTACGGAGTCGTGACGTGTTTGTCCAGGAGTGAGTGCAATATCACGTCTGATTGCTATATTGCATCTGGCAGTGCTGATTGCACTGTACTACTGTGGCACTGGAATGCAAGAACACAGACAATTGTGGGGGAGAGCGAGGCACCAGCACCCAGAGCCACACTCACCGGTCATGAACAGCCGGTTACAGCTGTTGTCATATCGGCGGAATTGGGACTTGTCGTGTCTGGATCTTATTGTAAGGAAAAAATAGAATATTTCTCATTCTTCAAACCCATTGTCTCAGTTCATCGCAAGCGATTCCATTCTCTAGTCGATTCAATCTTTATCGAATTTCGGTTCTAGTGTTTTTCGATAGTTTCATGGCATTAAACTAATCGTTTCGCATAACTTACGATATTATCATTATTTTCCACGATTTAGATAAACTCAAGTACGAAAAAAATTTCCCAGCATTTTTGTGGCTTATTATTATTCTTTTAAATAGAGTTTGATTTTTCTGTACAAATTATTCTATTCAGATGTTTTCAATTCAAATGTTTCGACAAAAATTTTCAAAGTTGATTTGTTTGATTTTTTAATGAGAAAGAGAAAAAATGATGTGAAAAATTAACAAACAAAAGTGAAAAAATTTCATAATTTTTTCTTATAACAAAAATGTTCCATCAACTAAAAATTCTGTCTCTTGATTTCATTAATTTTATCACAAAAAACATGGTTTTAGACAAGCCAGTCCTAGAGTATACAAAATTAGTTGACTTGCTGAAATCAGATCTATACAACAAAGAAAATGTTCTGCAAATTGGGGAAATTCAAGCAACTATTTTTCCGAATTCCCTCTCTCTTGAAAATTCAATTTAACTTAATGCTTAATTTTCACAATGAATTTGAGAATCAGAGTTGTCATTGCCATTTCAATGATGATTCATAATAAAAAATTAAATTTGATTGAATTAAAAAAAAAAATTAATTAAAAAATTCTGTTTTTCTCTTGATTTCCCTAATTTCACGATCATTCATCATAAAAAGCTCTGTTTTATTGAAGTTCCAAGATGAGTCAGTAATTATATGAACAATTCAATTTCGAAATTCAAATCAAATTCAGAATATTGAATTCCGACTGATCTTTACAGAAAATATTTCAACAGAATGATTTGTGTGAAAATATTAAAATCCATTAATTTGTTCTTTAAATTTAGAAATCAACTAAATCAAAAATGAAAAATCCTTCGAAATTATCATGCAGCAAAACTACTTTGGAAACAAAAGTTCTGTTTTTCTCCTGATTCCAATAATTTCATGACAAAAAAACATTGCTTCAGGCGGGCCAGTGCTAGTGCACACAACATTCGGTGACTTGCTGAGATCCCTAGAGGCTCCGAATGGTTTCACCTCGCCTGAAAACATCGCCATGTCCAGGGAAGGCGTGATAGTTGTGAATTACGAGCGCGGTCATATCGCTGCCTTCACCATAAACGGTAAACGATTGCGTCACGAGTCCCACAACGACAATCTCCAGGTAAAATAGGGTTTAATGTTTGTTTTTTTCATTTGCTAATTCGTTGAGCGGTGTATGAAGGTATTGATTTATGGGTTACAGTGTCTGCTGCTGAGCAGAGACGGCGAGTACCTGATGACAGGAGGCGACAAGGGGATTGTCGAGGTCTGGAGGACTTTCAATCTGGCGCTCCTCTATGCATTCCCCACTTGCGAGGGCAGTGTCAGATCGCTGGCGCTATCTCACGACCAGAAGTGAGTATCAATGTTTGGTTTCTCAAAGGGTACATCAACGGATGTTCATCAGCTTTCAAAAATTTTTTGCTAAATTATTTCATTGGGGACTATTTTGATCTTCTGTAAAATCATTATTTCATTTTTATTGAGCAAATTTGGTCAATAATATCAAGTAGAATAGGAGATAGCCAAATTTATAATGTTAAATTGTGACTAAATTTGAGATTGAAATATTCAGTAATCAATACTTTATTATTATAATACTTTATTAATCAATAATCTTTTTAAATAAATTTATGTTTCCTAATTCAGCTTTCAATCTAATAATTGAAATGATCGATTTCTTCGTTATTCACATCTCACAATTTTCATCTTCTAATATTCTGAAAACCATGATTTAATTTTTATTGAACAAATTCAGTTATGTAGGATTAGGGATAGCCAAATTTATAATATTAAATTATGATTAGATTTGAGATTGAACAATCCAGTAATCAATGCCATAAATAATTCTCATTTCTTTATTAATCAGCAATCACTTTAAGAAAATTTTAAAATACTTTATCCATCAGTCATCATTTTGAAGAAACTTACTACTATATCCATAATCAATAATCATTTTAAATAAATTTACCTTTCCGTATTCAATTTTCAAGTTGATAATTGGAATTCCTGATTTCTTTGTTAATCACATCTCACAATTCTCACCTTCTGGTATTCTGTAAAACCATGATTTTATTTTTATTGAACGAATTCGGTCATGTAGAACCAGGAATAGCCAATTCCATTATTTATTATCTCGTAAACTGTGTAGTACAACCAGTTACAATTTTTTTCTATATCTGGGGAATATTATGAATATTATCTATGAAAAACATGGGGATAATCGTAAGAAAAACCTGTTGTCACGCACGAAAAAATGTAATAGAAAACCTATCGAATTCGTTAGAGAATTTCGATTAAACTTTCTATTAGGCTTTGGCTGATTCTATTGACATGTTCAATACAAAACATCCAATAGAAAAAGTCAACAGAATTCGATTTTTCTATATAACTTATTTTTTTCATATATTTTCTATAGAATCTGCTCGACTAAAATTTTCCAAGCTTTTTTCATTCTATTTTTCTTTTCTTCTCATCAAGAAAATCAAATGAAAAAACTTAGAAAATTTGAGCCGAGGAAATTCTATAGAAAATATCTCAATAGAATAAGTTATACAGAAAAATTGAATTCTACTGACTTTTTCTACTGAATATTTTCTATTGAACATTTCAATAGAATTGGCTAAAAACTAATAGAACAGTTCAATAGAAATTCAATAGAATTTTCTAACGAATTCGATAGGTTTTTCTATTAAATTTTTCCGTCCGTGTTCTACGGATATACCTTAAACAGGAGTAGCAGAAATTAGTAAATGGGGAAAAAAGGAGTGTCTCAGTAATGGGTACTAATCAAAAGATTCTGGACTTCTTCACAATTAGATTGAAAATATTTGAAACTCTCCGATTGCGATGAATTTTACTCTCAGATAGAGAATACTGAATTTTTTTTGCATTAGAACAATCCATAGACCGTTTCATCCGGAGCCTAGCTGAATTTACATATAAATCATCGTTTTGAGGGCCCAAATGTATATCATCTTAAATGTCAATATTTATCAGAATTTTTATTATTTCTCTGGACATTTTTCAATTCGATGAACGGAATAAATATTTCCCCTAGATTTCCAGAATAAAAAGGTATACTTCTACTATTTCAGTGAATTTACAATTGATATTCTCCAACTGTTTGAAGGAAACATGTAATTTTTTTTAACTTAATTTCTTTTATGTTTCGAAAACTAATTTTTTTTTCGAGTAGATCATCTCATTTCAATGGATATGTCCCCGAAATACAAACACCTCTTCAATATTCTTAAATTGACTGTTTTTTCTTCACAGGTTCTTACTCGCTGGTTTGGCAAATGGATCAATCGTCATATTCCACATCGACTTTAACAGATGGCATCACGAATTTCAGCAGAGATACTGAAACTACGGTTGCCTCTTCGTTCGTTATTAAATGATTCACTCAACAGAAAGAGAAAAATTAACTAAATAATAAGTCATAATGCAACCACATCATGGTGATACCGCATAATCGATGAATTTGTACTTAAAACATGTGTTAATACCCGAGAAGTTCGTGGAAATATTGATCGGCTTCGAGAGCATTATTGGGATGAAGTAGCGGTGAAATTAGCGTAAGTAGACAATTAAACAGTACTTAATGAAAGGAAACATTTTTTGTATTATCGAAACATTGGCAAACAAGTACTTAGAAATTAGGCGTTTATATTAATCAACGTGAATTTCTTTTAAAAAATTGACTCTTCCACTCATGATACCATTAAAAGAAATCTAGCAAATTTTTTAGGAAATTCAATCGAATTTCTATGGAACTATTAAAAATTCTATCAGTCTTTCACCAATTCTGTTGAAAGTTCCCGCTGATTTTTTGTGCATTTTTGTCAATGGAAATGTTCAATAGAAAATATTTTATAGGGAAAATGGGCAGAATTAGATTTTTTTATACAATTTATTTCATTGGGATATTTTCTGTAGAAATTTCTCAGCTCAAATTTTCCAAATTTTTTTTTAAGAGGAGACAGGTATGAGTTTTGTAATTCGTGGGCTATTGAAGTGAGATTTATCATGCAGCGAAGATCGATTATATATGTCTAAAAACGAGTAATTAGTGCAAAAAAAATAATTGTTCATTGTTCGTTTATCCTGGAAATACTTGAAGTGTTAATAAAAAGTCCACGGTCTCCAATTTTTAAGCTAGAGATTTTTTTTTCAAGCAATTACAATAGCAATTACGAGTTATTTTTTCTTTAATTCGAGTCCTAAACAGCCGATTTCGTTTTTTTATACAAAAAATTGCACCATTCATGTACAATACCCAGAAAAATCTTCAAAATATTAAAAATATATTCTGGATTCTTTCAGAAACATTTTTCTTGCTATTTTGCATGAATGATGCAATTTTTTATTCAAAAAAACTAGCTTATAATTGTTATTCTACACGTTTTTTTTAATTTTGACAAAAAAAAACGTTTTTAACTAAAAAATTGGAGGCCCTGGACTTTTTTAAACATTTTAAGCGTCTACGGGACAAACGAACAATTGATTTTTTTGCACTTATTATTCGTTTTTATATAGTAGTCTCCCCTTAATGAGAGCAGAAAAAAATGATGTGAAAAAATCGCAATTAGACAATCTGTGTCGAGGAATTCTTATAGAAAATCCCGCAATGAAAAATGTTGTGTGAAAAGGTAAAATTCTACTGACTTTTTCCGTAAAATAGTTCCTATTGGACATTCTATTTTAAAAAACGTGCAGTTAAGCTACGGAATTTTCCAATAGAACCAACAAAAAATTAATAGAATTTTCCGTAGAAGTTCAATTGATATCAACCAGAATTCTTTAGGCAATTCGCTAGGTTTTCTATAAAAATTTTTCGTGCGTGTGGTGAACGAAAATGGTTTTAAACAATTGATCGAAAATTCCCATCGTTACGAGATAAATGCTTGATAATTATCTATCTATGAGCTCCATTCTGGGATAGCACAGAAACGCTAGTCAATTAAAAACGAATGATTATCTTTTACTCAAGATTTTGAGTCAAGCAGAACCCTCTAATCAACGCAAGTTGCAATTGTCAAATACTTAATGAAAAAAAGTGAAAAACAATGATTGAAAAAACATTAACAATACCAAAATGGCGTGTGGACTTATTTTTGTGTATTAATGCATATACGTGGGGTTGACACTATACATAATATACATTATGTACGTTGTAATTTCCTGTGTAAATAACCAATAATCTCAATGTTATACAAGAATTACCTTGTAACAAGAGAGAAAGAAAAACGAAAAAATTGAAAAAAAAGACGTCCCGTTGACATTCTGTAATTATCACGCGATCGTTACGTTTGCTGCTCGTAAAGATAAACAATTGTAATTCCACGGCTTTCGTGCCACCGTTGTCCGACGATGAGGAAGGGTCTCCGAGAAAAAAAAATCCGTATTTTCTAAAGAAAACGAGAGTAAATCCCAAAAACCAAAAATACAATTTTTCTCAGCGATCGGAAAATTTGTCGCGTCCTCCTGAATAAAATCCTAATTTCATCAGAGCCGTCCAGCTTAACTTTGTGAGGATATTTCTCGATATTTTCGCATATTTCGCAAATTAAACTTAAAAAATCAAGAGAGACGGGAGAGAAAAGCAAAAAAAAATCTAACAAATAATTTAAAAAATGTACTTAGACCAATTGTAGCACCCGGAAGCAATAAAAATATTCAATCGCACCTTGAGAACATCCGAATTACCCTCGTGATGCAGCTGAGTCTGCATCCCTTCTGAATTTGCTTTAGAAATGAAAAAAAAAAACATGAGAGACTTGAAATTACGTGGGGATGAGAGAAAAAAATCAATTTTTGTTTTATTTCCTCTTCGCCATTGCAAAGTGAATGAATAAATGTTACTTATATACATACGCCGATTATAAATACTAATGTATACATATAAATAACAAAAGTATAAATAATGAATATATATATGAGTGTATAAAACAGGCGAGAAGAATACGTGCACTGTTGGGCACATGTAATATAATTGGCGTACGCAATCGAGTACTTAAATTTGTGAGATAATTATTCTCTCACATAACAGGACGGCACATGCTTCTAAAACAGTTATTGATATTTTATTGCCCACGTGAATAATTAGATAAGAAGTAACAGATTTTTTCATCATGCGAGAAAGGAAAATAAAACATTACATATGGCTGTATCAATAAATGAAATTGTTCGCGACACTTTGATCGGTGTCATGACTAGTGATGTCGATTGACGTTCGCTTTTTGTATTGTATAAAATATAATGAACATTTACATGAAGATAGTAGTAATGACTATGTAATTAGGTTAAGTATTACCGAGCAAATTAAATTTGAGACAGAATAATTATGCGTTATAGTTGTGAGCTTGAGGAAGGGTGAGAATGAAAGGAGAGAACGTTAATAAATCAGTGAATATACGTGGATAAATTAATTAATTGTAAGGATCGAGTAATTTTGTCAATCAATAAATTCATCAATCACTCAGTCAATCTTGATGTTTCGTTGGAATTACATTCACGTACGTTCCGAATTAATAATTATTGCATTAAGGATATTCAAGTACTTTGGCGATTTTTTCTCCAGTGACATGATTTTTTACTTTTGTAGTCGAACATTAGGACATTTTACAATGATTTTATTTTTTAAACTTTGCAGGACTGAATTTGAATTTCGATATTGAGTCGTTAGAAAAAATTTAAAAAATATGAAAAAAGTAGAAAGTTTAGTTTTGGAGAAAGATTGATGAAATAATTAAAAAATTGCAATTTTTAAAGATTACGAGCATTTTTTATGAATAATTTTTTAAAGAATCAACTTTCCACCATAAAAATCATTTGTTCGGAATTCGTAAAAAAATGTATTCATATTCAGAATTTTACCAGAAATCGATTTCCGAAAATTTAAACAATTTAAATTATTTATTTATAAACAACGAATGTTGAAAAAAATAATTCTGTGCTAAATGTAAGCTGAATGGCGCTGAACATTCATAATTTTTATTCACATTTTTCTCACTCAATTTAATTGACAAATTTGATGATTGAAAATAGTTGAATCTATAGGATGATCCAAACTGTAGAAGATACAGAAAAGTACTGTGTTTTTCTACTTTTGTAGTCGAGCAGGACATTTTACAATGATTTTATTATTCAAGCTTTGCATGTCTGCATTTGAATTTCGCTATTGAACCGTTAGAAAACATTTTAAAAATCTAATAAAAAATTAGAAAATTTACTTTTTAAGGAAGATTACAACAATTATGGAATTCATAATTATGAAATGATTTTAAAATTGCTATTTTTGAAAATTACGAGCATTTTCTATGAACAATTTATAAACAAGCAATTGTCCACCATAAAAATCAATTGTTCAGAATTGCAACAAATATATTCATATTCAGAATTTTACTAGAAATCGATTTCATGCTTAAAGAAATTAGGTTTCTGAAAATTGAAACAATTTCAATTATTTATTTATAAACAACGAATGTTAAAAAAAAATGATTCTGTGCGAAATGCAAGCTGAGTGACGCCGAATATTCATGGCTTTTTTTCAAAATTTTCTCACTCAATTTAATTGACAAATTTGAGGACTGAAAATAGTTGAATCTACAGTATGGTCTGGTCCAAACTGTAAAAGATACTTGGATATCCTTAAGAATTTTTATGTTCTCTCTTCTCGCCATTGCACCTTCTAACTAGTCAGATGAAAATTAACGAGACAGGATAATATAAATAGAAATCGATGAATAAAATACGCAGATACGGGGGAAAATTCAGCAGGTCAAATTAGTCGTTATGTGTTTAATATTGTACATTAGAAATATTGTAGAATTTTATTGAAAGGATGTGAAATGCATGGCGCCGTTGTGTGATACTTGTCATCCATGCTTGTCGAGTAATTATTTGTTGATAATTCGTGAGAATGGGTATAAATACGAGGGAAAGATGAAAATGAGGAGAAAACGGAGGCAGGCTGATTATTTTTGTTATGATTTCACGTACGAAAAAAATTTCATTGGAAATTCTATTGGGTTTTTATTGAGCTTTCTATTAGTTTTTGGCCAATTTGAATTATTCCGCATCTTATGCGTGGCGTTCTCTCAATAGAAATGTCCAATGAAAATTTTATGTAGAAAAAATCAATAGAATTCGATTGTTCTATACAAATTATTGTATTCAGACATTTTCTATTTGAAAAACCAAAAACTGATAGAGTAGAAGTTCTTCAGCTCTAATTTTCTATTTTTTTTCATTGATCTTTGTAATGAAAAATGAATAAAAGTAGAGTGGAAAGAACTTAAAGAATTGATGTCGACGAATTCCAATAGAAAATGTTTCAATGGACAAGTTTTATGAAAAAAATGAAATTAGACAATTTTCCTTTATAAAATATTTTCTGTCAGACATTTTCCATTTGAAAAAATATACAGAAATGCTGCGGAATTCTTCAATAAAATAGATCAAAAACTAATGGAATAAAAGTTCTTCGGTTTTTATTTTCAATTTTTTTATCGATCTTTGTAATGAGAAAAGAGTAAAAGTAGAGTGCAAAGAACTTGAGAAATTAATATCGAGGAATTCTGATAGAAAATGTCTCAATGGAAAAGTTTCATAAAAAAATTAAATTGCACTAATTTTTTGTTGTCACAATTTCTATCGGACATTTTCTATTTGAAAAAAAAAGTACAGAAAAGCTGTGGAATTCTTGAACAGAATGGGTCGAAAACTAAAGAAGTTCAGTAGAAATCCAGCAGAATTTCTCCGTGCAGATTAATACGAAAAAAAACTCTTAATTATTGTTGCAATTACCGTTACATTCCAGCGGCATTTTACCCAAAATTACCACCAAATTGGCATTGGAAAAATACCAAAAGACTCGAAGAGATGACGAATAAAATTTAATTACATTCCAC